TACTGAAAATTTACATAAACTTTGAAAAAAGAACAGCAATATGACCTTGTAAGGTCTGTTAAGGTGATCCACCTAATAAAGGAACTACGATGGTCCAGATATTTGTAACCATCGGAATCAAACTGATCGTAGAAATAGACGCATTAGGATTAAGTTGACATCAGGTATAAAATGTAAACTTTTTATAATATTTTTTTTATAAATTTTGACACACATACCCTCTCTGCCAGAGTAAATTTTGTTTGATTTAATTAAAATAATAATTGCAATTGATTTTTGTGTTTATTATAATCAGAAATAGTATATTTATAATTATGTATATTAGATTTAATATAATTTAAAATTTATAAACATGTTATACTATTATTTATACTTATTTATATTTTAATAATATATTATATATTAAAAAAAACGACATGATAAAGCGGCTATTTATTTTACTTTTATAAAATTATTCACTTAATAAAACATTTCAATTCAAATATTAGATTAATAATTTTCAGATTTTATAAATAAATTTATTAAATAATACAAGTAACAAAATTTAACACTGAATATTTTCTCTCATATATATTTCAATTTTCTATGGTAAATTTTAAATGAATAAAATTAACGTTAAACAAACCGTTTTATTAATTGTTAGTGTGGCGGGCGGAATATATAAACATTCTTACATGGAAAGAAGGAAGTTTTCAAATGATTGCTCTTCTGAGGTCGATGGGCTGCATGAGAGAGGAAGCATCAAAGTACTCAGATTCCTTAATACTATATAGCAGCCTTTTCTCTGGCGATGATTGCATCTCATGAATTGGACCCTTCTGGGCATGCTTCTGTTTTTCTTTTCTTTTTTTAATCATATGGGAACTTGAGAAGCAATAGAAACCTGAACCTGATAAATCGTTAAAGTACACCGAAGTGTTGAACAAAATATAAGTTCCAGTATTTCTTATGATTGTGTTAGTCACGTAACCATTCCAATAGTTTTATCTACTTATGCTCAATTTCTTTATCAATCACTCAATAGGAAAAACAAGCAAGAACCTAAGAAAACAAATCAATATAGTTGTAGTTACATTGAACATCATTGAAAATTATACTTCTATCCGATCTTATATATTGATAAGCTTTGTTATTTCTAAGGTATCAAGTCTATGCATGATAATAAAATTCGTTGTTCATGGCTTAGTTTGAAAAGTAAAAAACAAATGCGGGAAATATGAAACATCCAACAAAGAATACTAAAGGAAATAAACCGCGGTTGCAAGACACGATTTTAGTACATTTTAATAAAGGAAAATTTTTCTTCATTTTTTGCAATAACAAGAATGTGAAACAATACTACTAAAAGTGCGTTTGTTCTAGGTTTAAAATATTTTTTATGATATAGTTTTTCAAAAATTTGAGAAGTTTTTCATTTATTAACTTATTTAACTATTATAAAATTTGTAAATATATATTTTAAATTGTTTTTTTTTGTCCTATAATGCACGAACAAAAAGCATCAAATCATATTCACGATGAAAAGCTGTTTTTTTTTTAATAGGACATGGATCAAAATAAAAAACACAATCAAATGATGAACACGGCTTAGAAAATGTAGCAAATAAATCATACATTTTCTACCATTATAAAAAAGAGGATAAGCACACATGTCAGCAATTGTTTGTCTGAGACGTTAGAAACTGAAGATTGCTAATTATAACTTGACTAAAACATGAATTGTAGAAGGGACATTTAACTATTTAAAGTTCAAATTAATGATAATTTGATGCTATGAAATATTTTACACGCCGCATATCTCATTTAACTAGTTCAATTAACTCCGTATTTCAAAATTTCACAGCAATTTTTTTGAAAATTACAAATAATAAATGAGTAGAGCTATTCAAGCAATTATAAATTACACATGCTTGTGTCAATTCGTAGAACTATTGATATAGTTTTTTTAGATAATATGAGACATTTATTTTTTTTATAAATTTTAATTACTTATGAAATATTTTATAGGAAAATATAATGACTTCTGCAAGAAGGATTTACGGCCATTGATAGAGTTTACTGTGAAATGCGAACATTATTAGCCGAAGTGTTTGACGGGGAGCCGGTACAATTTTAATCATCACATGCCCATGTTTTTATTGACCGTGCGTCACGTGTGTAGTCTGTGCAAGTCTTTTCTCACTCGCATCAATTCACGATCAACAAAAGGAAAGTACAGATCAGAAAGAAAACCCCCATCTGTCTCGGATTTGGTTTTATGATCTATTAAGAGATAGAAATACAAAAAAACATGTAATATAATAGGAGAATTATTATATTATTGGATTTATGTTATATTATATTACGAATCAAGAATATCAAATAAGTATTTAGATTGTTGAATTATTTTAAAATTAAAATTGTTATTTTATTTATAAATATGTTATTGACCCAATGCAGTCTTATTATTGATGCGACGATGATTATTAAACCGTCGATTTCGGAAATTATTTTTTGGGGTTTGGCAACATCACAACCAAGCAATCGGCTGGGTCGTTGACTGGATAATTTGAGTTTGACCATAGCGAGGCACAGACACGTGGAAAGTTACGGTAGTGTATACACACACGTGCAGGTTACAGCTGGGAACCGTACCCGGACACCAGCTAAAATTATTCATACAACTTTCATTTTTATTTTTTTTAAATACAGGTTAAAATAAAGATTTTTTTTATTTATATATATTAAAAATAATATATATCAAAATATGAAATTTTAGAGAATATAAGAAAATTCAAAAAACATCATTGACAATTTTTTACAGTGTATAAATTATGGAAATAATTTATATTTTATGTGATAATATATAATTAAATAACAATGTAATTTATTCACTATTAATATATGTTAATTAAATTATTAATTCAAATATTACGTTAAATTGTAAAAATGTACAAAATAAGAGATTTAAAATATTTTATATATTTTCTTCTTGTAATGTCACATTATCATATCTCTCGATATTTATTTTTCAGAATTTTAAATTTATTAAAGTAAAGTTTATCTCATTTGCTTTTTATATACAAAATAAAGTACGAAATCTTAATAAATATATTTTCAAAAATAAAATGATATGCAAAAGCTTCATTGGTTTCACCTTAAATAAATACTCATTGTTTAATGTTGCAAGACTAGGTAAGTGATCTATCTAGCCTCCGGTGTGGCTGGCTACACGTTATTCTCACTTCCGTCCCTCTGAATCATGTCCTTACATTTGTCTCATTCGTTCCAGTGTTCCACTCACTTTAATCGGTTTACCATTTGCTCATGACCAAAAAAAAAAAAAAAAAAAAAAAATGGTTTACCATTGGCTTGGCACATTGGTAAGGTTTGGTATAAGTAATTTTAAGGAAATATGGAGAAGACACTAATACAATGTTTTCTTTTCTCCCGTTTAAAACGAGGCAAAATATAAAGGAAAAGAAAAAAGGAATGGTAAGATCCCACCTGAGAGAAAAAACAGTCTCATACAAATAAAACGAAGAACGAAAATTAAAGATAAAATATGTTTTAATTTTTAAAATAAATTTTGTTACTGCTTGATAATAAATGCATGTTATATTTTTAATTTAGTTATGTCGTGTTTGCATATTTATATTATTAAATGCATGTTATATTTAAGAGGTGATATTGACTGTATTTTAAATTTTCAAATTTATAAAAAAGTTACGAAAAATTTTTGAAGGGGTCAAAATCAAATAAAGTTATATTTATAAAAATTAAAAGTATATTATGAAAAAAATATATGCTTTTAAATATATGCATATAAGATAGGATTAAATTACATCAAGATTAATTTTTGTTAAAATTATTATTTTTTATAAATATTAATTTTTGTTACTTTAATAATTTTTTCTTATAAATAAATTAAATTTACAAGAACTTATATAACTAAAAAACTAGTTAATGCCTCATTTAGATAACTTTTTAACGTATACTAAATTTCTTGAAAGATAAATAAATATATACTATAAAATTATATATTTATAAGTATTAACTATATATAATAACATATTAATATGATGGTACAAGCGGTAAAGTGTACAGTAGAAGAAAAAGATTAGGTTAGGCGTTTTGAAATAAGCTACAGAAGCAGTTAGAAGTTGGTGTGTGTATTTTAAAATGATACATGTCACTTCTAAGTTCGTGCAGGTAAGCAATGTCTCTAAATTTCTCAGTCTCTTTCTCTTTCTAGATCAGTAGCTCCTCTTGTTGTTTGTTATCCACGAAAAAAATTGATTTTTTGTGCTGCCTTTGGTGATCATGCCACTACCCAGTTGGTAAAAGTGGTTTTTCATCTCGAGTTTAATTAAGCATTTGATGCTCCTGCTGATACATTCAGACACCCGCCAAAGGGTAATGAACTCAATCATGTCCCTTTCACAAGTCATTGAAGGATTTGAGTAGAATTTTATGCCTTTGGTCGTTTCTTGTTCTTAGATTCTCCTCCCGGAATTCACAGCAAGAGTTCTTCTCCTGTCCCGTCTTTTAAATCAACACAAAGCTTCAAAATACTTACTATTTATTCAATTTGTTTTAAGCTTCAAAGCTTCCAAGCCACTCAATCTTAAATCAATCCTATTGTTGTTTGATCGAACGGAGAAAGGGAAATTTTAGTTGTTTTGTTGTGAACAAAGAAGAAAAGGGAATCTGCTTTATCTGCAGTTTGGTTAGGCTCTTAGCTTAGCTATCAGTCTTTCACGTTGCTTGTCTATGCCCACTTTATGCTCTGAAAGGTTCACTTTTGTGTCTGAAGGGGAGCTTTTTTTCCTTTTATTCCTGAACATTATAGTAATAGACTTGATCCTACGATATTTGAAGGAAGAAGTAACTAGCTGGTGACTCACGAGGTAGATTATATTCCTTTTGCTTTGTGTCACTGCCACAATGAGGGTCTTCTTTTACTTTATCCTCCTCTCAGTCCTATAAAGCTGCCAATGTTATTTGTTCTTTGCTGAGTCCTGCAAGATATCTCTCGAGCCAACTTAGTCAAAATTCACTTTCCCTTTAATCATGCAGTTGTTTATTTCAACTGCAGTATAATCTAGACTACACTAACCAAATGTACCACCGGTTTGCTTAAACTGTTGAATCAGAATTATCCTAATTCATTGATATATATATTATTTATTGGTTACTTTCTTAGGTCAAGGCGTTTAGGGACTATGCATTCAAGAGATGGGTGGTCTTGAAAATGCCATGAGGTTTCAACATGGAAATGAGGGCATTCTAAACTGTCCAATATCGGGTTTGAGGACAAGTGTTTCAGAAAAGACAGTTAATTCTGTGTCTATGGCTATGCCTTCTGGTGTAGCTAATCCTTTTCTTGCTTCTTCCGCTTGGGATCAACTTGTTCCATTGAGTCAGGTTCAAACATTTAGAGGCTCCCAAGTGATTTCTCCTTGTGAGTTTGCCAATTCATCTTACCCTCTTGTTATGGAAAACCAGGGAATGAGTAGCAGCTCTCACCTTGTTCAATACATATCCGACTCAAATTTTGTGGACATGGTCCACAAGGCTCCCTCCTATGGAAGTGGGAGTTTATCAGAAATTGTTGGCTCTTTAAGCCTACCTCCATCTAGTGATATAGCTAACATAGAGTATCAGCCAAATCAAAATCCTAGCCATGTGGGTGTAATAGAAAGGAGTCCAATAAATAATGAGCAATCACAGGGTGAAGGTTCAACTCCTGAAGAGGGAGAAACAGGATCTGCACATGGTGAAAATAGAAGAAAGCGAGAACTTGATAACTCTAGTTTCAATCCAAATAAGGTAGGTCCAGTGTATTATATCAATCCCAGTTATGATGTAGAGTATTTCATTGACTTATTTGGTTGGGAAGCTAATGAATGAAATGCTTTTCAAAAACACTGTTTAGAATGCTGAGGGGTATGCTATTAAAGATTCTTCGGGGAAGAGCTCTGATGGTGTGAAAGAACAATATGAAAAGAAACCAAGAGTTGAAGAAAATAACAGTGCAAATTTAAGTGGGAAGCAAAAGAAAGATAAATCTGACAGTGGAGAAGCTCCTAAAGAAAATTTCATTCATGTGAGAGCTCGAAGAGGTCAAGCTACAAACAGTCACAGCCTTGCAGAAAGGGTACCAGTACCACCATCTCAATGCAAATGTTTGTTACAAGAAACCCATTTCTTGTTGTTAATTTAGAAGCTTTAATTTGTTTGCAGGTAAGGAGAGAAAAGATAAGCGAGAGAATGAGGTTGCTTCAAGAACTTGTTCCAGGATGCAACAAGGTTATTTGAATTGATTGTGTTTGTCATATGAATATGATTTATCATCAATGATCAAAACATGATGATTTCTTGTATGCTAATTTTCTGGTGCCGTTGACTTTCAGATAACAGGCAAAGCAGTAATGCTTGATGAGATTATAAATTACGTGCAATCACTGCAACAGCAAGTGGAGGTATACCTGCTATATATAAATATAAAGCTTCACAAATAGCAGTTTTTCTGTGTTGTTGTGAACCATATTAAATATTCTTCTTATTGCTCTAACTTTAATGTTAATCTGATTTCCCCTGTGGACTGCATGATGCATATGATGAGCTTTGCTATTATTTTAAAGGGAAAATTACAATTTTCGACTGTGGTCTTGACCCATCTTCTGTTACAGAATTTTGGTTAAAATTTGACACTTCATCCCTAAGGTTAGCTCACTAGCATATAATCTCCCATGTATTTTTTATTTGTCCACGTATTGCATGCTTGAAACTGATGAATATAGAGAGATATATTGTGATATGTAGGCTCGATGATCAGAGGGCATAACATGGTATTAACATATCGCATGGTTAGAAAATATCATTTGGACAAACCACACGAGGATAAAACTTAACTCATCATAAATTATGATGTTGAATCGTGCACAACACCTTTTAAAGGCTTAACTCCATTGTCATAGTTATTTCATTACTCAACTTACGTACATAATATTTGCAGTTTTTGTCCATGAAACTTGCCACGGTAAACCCAGAACTGAGTTTTGAGGCGGAGAGGATTCTCTCCAAAGATGTAAGTGAAGGTCTTGAGAGTTTAATTAATCCTTTTACTTTCGCTGAATTTTTAGTACAAAGTTCAATCTTTTTAGGTTCTTCAGTCACACATTGGACACGTACCAATTGGTGGATATGGCCCTGCTATCAGTTGCACTCATCCATTCCCCTCTGGAAGTTTCCAAGGAACACTTTATAGCAGGCCGAGCACATCAACACAATTCCCTCCTTTGCCGCAGGTAAAGACTAAAGAGTGAAGATCTTTGAACACGTTATGCCTATTCTTTTAGCTCTCCTGTTTGTGAGAATTTGAAAATAGTTATGCATGCATATGCAGTCTGTTTTGAACCAAAGCTTCTATGGAATGAGCTATGATTCCAGTACAAATCTTGACAATTTGGGACACAATGGTAATACTGATAGGAAGAAACTCGTTTGTAATTTAGTTCTCTTGCATAATCAATTCCTATTTATGTGTTTCATTTTTATAATTCATTGTCATGTTGAGCAGGATGGTTGAAAACAGAGTTGTAGAGTGTTGAGATACGTGGCCTTGTTTCTTTGAACAGAGAGTTTGTAAATTGGGATTATTGTCCACTTGACTGCACAAATTAACTCAAGTTGGAAGCAGGGAGAATAAACGGAGTTAGTTAGAGGTCTAGGATCTTAATACCTATCTGTTGGTTCTTCGAGTTTTTAGCCGAAGATGACTTGTTAAATATATGAACCATGTTGAGTTGAGGGAATGAGGTCAGCCACTAGTTAATGGGGCTGATTCTTGTCACCTAGTGTTTCATATTAGAAAATGAAGGCACTTATCTACCTAAATTGTGGGGTATATCACTTTTCTTAGTTGTTATTGTAATGAATGGGAAGTTTCTTATTGCATATAGTAAAAATGGTGCAAAATGTATCGGATGATATAGTGTTTTGAAAGGCATTAGTCCTCTATGAATGGTCTCATCTTGTTAACAAATTTTTGGGTACTTGCATGGTTCGAGAGATTCTTGTGTATTTTGGAGATTCTTACGTATTTTGGGAGTATTACGCCAATTCAATTAGAACATCATATAGAACAATGCATAATTATATGTTTTGGATTTTTAAGAAAATTTTGAATTGTATATGAACGGTGTTAAATTATTACTGTGAAAACTTATAAGCGGTTTATCAATTGTTGATTAGGGTGTCAGTTTGCAAAGGTTTAAGGTGGCTAAATATGTGCTTTTACTTTAAGAGGAAAGTATTAATACTGAAGGGGTTTTTTGTACGTTATATTTAAGAGATGGTTTTGTACACATAATCAGATTAGATTTTAATCGTAAAGGTCTAAGTAAAATTTTTCTTTTGGTCGAGTAAGGTCAAGTAGAGTTGAACATTAACGTTATCCTCTATATTATTAACCCGCGAGAATAGAAACCATTGATGTAACTCGAACAAAGTTTTAGGTCAGCGGCTTAAAACGACGTCGATCAATGACAAAAAAAAAACGTCTATAAAAGAAAAAAGAACTTAAAATAGCAGCCCTTTTGAGCAAATAAGTAAATAAATAAAATACACCACTCCATTTTTTCAGAAACGAAATTCCAAAATTAATTATTTTAAAATTAAAGTTTTGAATCTATTTTTTGTTTCACTCTTAAAATATGATTTTTTTGAACTTTGTTGTTCGTTTCCTTAGGGCTTTTGCCCAGCTTTATTACTCTAAAGAAATAAAAGGCTATAGTCTCGGAAGCTAATCATAGTTGACCGAAAAAAATAAGGAAGCCGATCATCTAATGTCCCATATAAAGGCTTATATTTTGAACGATCATTAATTTCTTTTTAAGATAGAAACTACTTGTTTTTAAATCACTAATTTATAGAGTATTTGATTAACCATGTAAAAGACCCCTTGGGCAATAATCATGATTTCAGACTTTGAAACAAAACACCAAACATGTTTGTTGCTCCTATTTTTCTGTTTGGCGCTTTACCAATTTTGTGTTCTTCATTCATTATTGTATATAACATTGGATAATTAATACTTTTTTTAACATTTGTGCCTTTAATAATTAATGCTTGTTTGGGGGAGCATACGATAATAAATAAGTGAGATATTAATTACTATAAATGAAGGATATATAGAAAAGTAATTAATATTTTTTTTTATGAAATTTAAAACACCAATCAATTTTTAATTCTTGTACAAAACCTTAAACGTTAAAGAAGAAAAAAACAGGGAGAATAGTAATTTGTTGAATCATAAGCGATACGGTTCCTATATTCTTTCATCAACTTATGTTATGTTTGGTAATTATTTACCTCTAGATAAATTACAAACAAAATTATTTTAGAATAAACTAAAAGCTTAACTTCAACTTTAGTCTCCATATTTTAGTTTATATGCGATTTTAGTTCTTTAATTTTATCTTTTAATTTTTTTTCACTAATTTATATGAATTAATAATATGTCACACTTTTAAAATACTTTTATTATTTATTAGATGAGACTTCAGGATTGAAAGACTTGATAAGAATAATTGAAAAAATATGAAAAATAAATACAGACAATTAAAATTGAAACAGCTAAAATTGCAGATAAATTAAAATATAAAAACTAAAATTACAGTTAAGACTGAATTAATCTAAATATGTGCACAGCATGCTGAAATTTATCAATACTTCCTCGTGGCGCTGCCGATTGTTTGGATTGAAATCACAGTGTTGCTTTCTCACAGAAATGTCATAGAAATTTTTTAACTAGGATATCTAAATCAAAGTGATTTCTCCAAAACAAAATATGTATCAGCTAAAGTCTTCAGTTCTCCTTCTACCCAATTTATTTAATTAAATGACATCTAATTTATGCATACATTTATTTCGCAAATGGCACAGTTGATGCAAACATCACATACTTGGTAAATGGAAAATATATTCCAACTAGAAAAATTACCCCAACTAGAAACATTTATTTCACTCATTGTTTTGTTGTATATCATTGCTTAGTGTGTATTTTTGTTGTTGTTGTTTTCTACATGTATTTTCCATAAAAAAAAAAAAACTTATTCAAATGCAAGTTGGTTAGTAAATATAAATGTCTCTCCAATAATTTGGATCTTGATTCACCATTTGTGAGAAACGAGTCTCTTCTGTTAAACCTAACTCTCATTAATGTATATGTGAGTTTAGTGTGATGAGTATATATTGTTCTCTTTAGTTTCTATTTTTTGTATTAACAAAAAGCTAATAAGACAAAGTACAGTCTCCTTTTACTTTATTAGTGAGGTTGAAGCCTATTAAACGTTACTCTACGTGACTTCTGAAAAGATTCACGAGTGCACTAGGATGTATGGTCAAATGGAACAACTTGACAGATGGGAAAGCATAAATCCATTGCCCGTATCACAAATAGCACTTCTTCCTAAACAAGAAGTTGCATGTAAATTGTGAAACAAACTACTTCTATAACTCATTTATTGGGTTGGTGCTCTATCCATCTGCTTGCTCATTCATTCATTTAATTAGGAGAAGAGACACCTAACACAGTAAACCATCTGCCTCATTCTTTGGTAGAAACTAGAAAGCGAAATATATTGCATGTGAAATTAATGACACTAGCGAGGCCGTTTTGAAAGATAAAAGAATCTGTGTTAATTTGCAAAGTGGGAGCAACAATAACAAACTCCTGAAGCGTGAAAGCCCTTTAATCGTTTTAACAAGGTCTTCCATAATATGCTCAACCATTACTAATAAAATAAAATAAAAATTGAATAGAAGAGTGGCATCAAGCACGAAGGAAATGAATTAATGGAAGACAGTCCCGTCCAATTTTGTCCTTGTTTTAAAAAACAAAAGCAAAAGTAAAAGCAAAGCAGCGAAAAAAAAAGAAGCATTACCAGTCCTTGTTCATGGCTTCGTGCTTATTATTTTGAATGCAAGTACAAGCAGTAATTCCTGAGTTGAACTAGTAAAAAAATGATATAATAATAAAAAGTTGGGAATTTTATTTTTGGGGGTCCAAGGAAGAGTTTGGGTGTTGAGCTGGAGAAATGCTGTCAATTATGAATGTAAGTGGGGCCTATACGCGCCAGAAACTCCCAACTTCATACAGCCCCACTAGGCCACAAAAACGTATGCCACCGCTACCTGCTCTCAATGAGATCTGTCAACTAGCGTGAGGGATCAAAGTGCTTTCAAATTCCATTCCAACATTACGTGAAACAGTAAAAGCCTTATACAATAGCCTCATAACTGTTCCCACAAGCATGGAATGATAACAAAGTTATGGAGCTGGAGGGACACAGCAGGGGCAGACAGAGCTAAGTATATACCTCAATTTTTTTTAACTTTTTACATGTAATGCTTTAAATGAAAGTGATTATTTTTTCCACCATTAATCACTGCTTCAGTAGAACAATTGTCCAGCTACCACAACAGACAAGCCCAACATATTGGGGAGTCAATATCTTTAGGTCGTAACTGCCCTTATATTAAGAGTAACCATTAAGTTATGGACCGAACCTTGCATCCATCCACGTGCAACGAAACCAACCAACCTCACTGTTTTTGGTTTGTGAAGTACAACATCTTTCGGTGTTTCAGAATTACATTTCCCGAGTAGCATTCCTGCCCGAAAAGGGCATTGTGAGGCAGTGGAAAAGCTCAAATAAAACTTGAAAACTTCCGGTTGCTCTAATCAAATTCAAAAATGGACAGACACACTCTTCATCAAAGCACCGTTATGTATATCTAGTAATTTCCAGCTCAAGGTTGGAAAGTGGTGACATAACAAATTACAAGCAAAATAAAAGCGTGCTCAGAGGACCACCTAGAATTACTATGGGTATCACATTCTTAGGTAGGGACCCAGGAAATCAAAACCCACTTCTCTACCATTATGAAAGTTGACAAAAACGAATTCAAGTATTCAATTTGCATTCTCGCACACCAAGCGGTGGAGGGTGGTAGAAACAGGACAAGAAACAGTGTTGTTCCTGATTACTATTGCTATGAAATTAAAAAAGAAAATCCCAATGGATGTTTAAATTACGTTTGAACCACAAATTTTCTTACAAAAGAGTTGATCCGGCAAGAAAAGAATCCACATAAAATTACAAAAATGAATCAAATAAGAGAGAGAAAAAAAAAAAAGAGAGGCTAAACTTACACATTGAATGAAACGCCCTAACCGGCCTTAATTGTACCCCTTTCCAAATTAAAAGAAAAAAACCTTCTCTTTGGTCCATAATAACACAAATATAGAATCGTCTTGGGTGGATTTGATTTTACGAGGGTGGAGGGAGGAGCATGAGCAAGAAAAAGAAGCACTCTGGGTCCTCTACACTCTCCAGTGCCCCCAATAAATGTCTTCAGTAATTTCACAAGGCCTGGTTATCCACCCTTTTTGCTTTTCCGTGCATGTAACTCCACAAAGTACACAGTCCAGTCAAATTTTATTCTTTTTTGTTTTAGTCCACTTGTTCACCAATCAAGTCTAGACCAACTAAAAGGAATGATATGCCCTGGAATAGCAGAAAGTAAAAGTGAATCCCCTGAGCAGAGAGGAGACTCCTTGCTGAGGCTGTTAGAAGTAGAAAGGCCAAAGAAAGCTCCTTCACATATATTCTATTATGCTTTTTCTTCTTCTTAGACACCTTCTGCTGCGCTTGCCTTCGAAGTTCCTCTTTCATTCCCTCCAGATCAGGTTCTGATGACCCTCTTTGATGCTTTGGTCCTTTTCCAATCAATGAAACCAGATCACCCTCCGAGGAACGACCCGATTTCTTAGTGACCACCCACTCGTATGCACTCCCGAGCTGGAATAGGCCAGAGATCATGGCATTGAATTTGGTAACCGACATGGTATTTTCAAATAGGAGATAAGGGACAATAAAGGGGAAGGCTTTTGGAGCTGGAAGAATGTTGAGAAATGACATGGCAGCAGGGATGTAGCAAACAACCCATGCTGGAAGCTCAGCTTCCGGTACGAACATTGTCATAGGCAGAATTATACAAAACAGTGTGAATGAATAGAATGGTAATATCAGTTTTCTAAGAAGGAAGAAAAGAAAAATCATGTTGAATTTCTTCCACACGCTTATCTGCAAAAAAATCATTGATACCAACACCACATAAGCACCTCAATAACATAATAAAGATGTGTCAAGACATGTATTGCCCTTAAAAATTAAAGAGATTAGAGGGATTGAGAAATACACATGCACCACAATAACATAACAAAGATGTGTCAAGGGAGTGTATTACCTTGGACCGTATGATATCAGGCAAACAAAGGCGGAACAATTGCATTGGCCCAGAATGCCATCTATGCTGCTGTTTTCTGTAAGCTTCATAAGATTCGGGTAGCTCACACTGGCACTGGAAGCATTAACACATAACAACTTGAAATCAGTCTGAGAATGAATTAGCAAAAGACAAACAAACTAACAGTAACTGATACAATTTAATGTGAATGGCAAACCTCAACATCATTGAGGAAAATGAATTTCCAGCCATGAAGATGAGCTCGAACAGCAATATCCATGTCCTCAACAGTTGTCCTCTCCAACCACCCACCAGCATCTTCTAAAGCCTTTATTCTCCACACACCAGCAGTTCCATTGAACCCAAAGAAATTGATGAAAATCCCATTCACTTGCTGTTCGACCTCAAAATGGAAAGACAGATTAATGTTCTGCAACCTTGTAAGCAGGTTCTCATCCTTGTTCACAAAGGACCATCTTGCCTGAACAAGCCCCAATTCGTCATTATCCTGCAGCATCACCAAGTGGGTAAATTGACTAAAACCGTTAAATATACATACACCACTACCATTAATCTTCAAGCTACAGGACAATCTATAATATATACATTCATTAATGCTAAAAAAGATAAAAAAAAGAAGAAGAAAATCTTAGCTTTCTACTTTCTAGCCAGTTACACAACGACATTGAACTAAATAACAACCTTAAAATGAGGAACCGTTTTTTTAAGGAAATCTGGGGTAGGCTGAAAATCGGCATCAAAAATTGCAACGAACTCATAGTCTTTGACATAGCTACAATTCATGGCAGATTTCAAATTACCGGCCTTGTACCCATCTCTAATCACACGGTGTCGGTACAAAATGTTGGCACCCTCTTGCTGCCACTTTTGCACTTCCTCCTTGATCAGCAACTGCGTAGTAGGGTCATCCGAATCATCCAGAACCTGAATCAACAACTTGGACTTTGGCCAATCCAAATTAGACACGGCAGCAATAGATTGCTGATAAACCTGAACCAACAAAACACACCATAAATTAGATCAACACACCCCAAGTGTGAGACTATATTATTTCATTTCACACGTTACCTCTTTCTCATTGCACATGGGGATCTGCACTAGCACCATGGGGAAAAAACCCTTCTCTCCAGATTCAAGATCTAAAGCCCCACCCTTTGGAACAGGCTTGATCTTCTTAAACCGGATCCAGAAACAACCCAAACACAGAACAAGCCTATCCAAACTCTGAATAAGAAACAGCACAATACACGCATTGGTCAGAAACTGCAGGGGAGGAGCGAGGTACTCCACCCGAATCAAAACCCACCGCGCGTAAAGCCAATCGAAGAAATCCTTAACCCCAAAAGCGGGTACCCACAACAAATGTTCCAACTGAAGACGCGCGCCACCGAAATGCCAACCCTTGAAATACGCAGCAACCTCGAAACACAAGAGGAAAACTGACAACCAGAGAAACGCTTTGATGCACGAATAGAACCTGCTTTTCACGGTGGGGTTCTCCTTTTCCCTCCCTCCGTCGGTGTCGGTGTCGGCGTCGGTTCTCCCGGAGGCCACGCGGCGCTTCACGGCGGAGACTAGGCCCCACAATGCAGGTGCGAGAGAGGTTAAGCAACCCGCGGCTCTATGAGCTTTAAGGAGAAGAACCCATGTTAGTTGCTTCGCGTTTTTTCCTCTTCCTTTGTCTCTTGGAATGCCCGAAGCGTCGGTGATTAGCAAGTCTTCCTCTGAAGGACCCTCAAGTTCAACCATCGACCAATTTGGGTTCTCCATCTTCACCACCACTGGAGTTCCCCTGTGACCCTCTTTCACCCCCCAATTGAACAAGGGTGGTGCCATTTTCGCCTCTGATCTCACAAACCAAATTTTTTAAAAGAAAATTTATGTCTCTCAATTTAGTACTCTTATTTCCTTTCTCTTTTTTTTTTTTTTTACTTTTTTTTTTTGGCTCCCGCAGAATGGTGAAAATAAAATAATGAGAAAGGAAAGAAGAGACTAAAGCTTTGATCTCATTGTGAAGAAAGGAGGAAATGATAACGGTGACAGACGCGTGGAGGTAGAAAGCAGAGCAAGGCGTCGCTAAGCCATTGTGACATTCGGAGAAAACCTATACGAGAACTGTTTTTCACACTGTGACTTGTTTGGATGAGTCCAAAACAGGCCTCTCATCAACTACAACAAAACGGTGTGTCTTAAAAAACCTAATAAGAATGGAGGGAAGTGAGTGAGATATTGGAAAAATGGAAAGTGGAATTAGAAATGGGTAACAGCTCAACACGTTTTGAGTTTGATTCTCAGAATTTCTTTCTTTATTTTTTTTTAAAGAAATGTCCAATTCGATTTCAACAAGAATATTACCCAGAAAGCAACTTCGCCCGTCAAAGACTCCAACCTTCGCAAAAGTGTTCTCTTTTTACCATAACCAAAAAAACTTGGTTTTTCTCCCTCACAGTCCTACCCATTCAAATATAGGAAGCGAGCAATCATCGTATATTAAAATCGCGCACAAGTAATGCTTAAGGGAACAATTGATGATAAAAGTGGAACAAAATCGCGACGTGACACGCAATTTTTCCGACAAATACCTTATTTTACCCTATTAATAACCACCAACTCCTTTTAATTTTCAATAAACGTTCACAACAAACAGACAACTGGAACTTTCCAATCCTTTCAGGAAATGCAAAGTTTTCTTAAAAAATATTTTTACAGCGGTAGGTAAGGATTTAAAGTTACGGTTATCTCCTGCGTGTGGAAATTGAAAGCTTCCATTCTCGCTCTCTTTTTCTTTCTTCCTTCATCGCGCGTGAAACACAGAAGAGAGTTTTTTGAAGCGGTGATTAATCATTCGTCTTATTTACTGCGGTATAAAATTATCAAGGGTGACGCTGTATTAACAGCCAAGCGCAAACCAATGTGCCAAAAAGCCAAAAAGTGTCTTCGGTTTTAATTTTTTATTAAGATGGTTTAGTTTAATATTTGTTTTCCAAAGTTGAGACCGTGTTTAATTTTTATTCCATGCGCTCTATGTTCTTAGAGAAATTTAAAATTAAATTTATGTTTTTGTTTCGTGGTGGAGAATGTGAACGGGGTGCTAAGAAATCCGTAGCCGTCCCCGTTTGTGGAACTGACCAGGTCCTTATATTCCCCACCGACGCTAATTCCAAGCTCCAAATCAGCTATTCGTTATTATGAGTTCATTCGGCCACTGTAATCACACGCCCTACCAAAGAGCGTGACGGACACACATCACGTTTTGCTATTTTTGTCGTATAATTGAAGGGGTAAAATATACTGCGGCCACACCAAGTTTGTTGATATAAATTTTAACCTTGCAAATTTATACAAGTCGACGGTGATTGGACTCAAAATTTGCAATTATCTTCGTCTTTTGGTAAAAATAGGGTCAAGTTATCTATTCTTGAATCTTCGTCAGATATATCCAACGGTACTAATCCTTATCTGGCTATTTGTGTTTTTTTGTGTCTAATGGATGTTACTACTGTAAACTGTAGCCTTATAGGTATATATAAGTGTCCATCATTAACATCAGAACATCCTCTTGAACCACCACGGTACCCTATCAGTTTTGATTTGAGTCAAATCTTAATTTTATCTCTTTCTATATTTTGTAAGTATGAATGCTCAAATAAGAGTATTTTTAAACAAAATTAAGAATTGATTCTCTTTATTGTCTAATTATTACAATGGTAAAATTACGTGTCGTAAAAGAGACTGTAATAAAATATATCCTTACATGCACGAGTAAATATTTGAATTTCTAATATACAAAGTTATAAAATTATATATTTTATATAAAAAAAATTATATATAATTTAAAATTCTGAGGAGGGCCCACCCATGTGCTTTTGAGTCCGTCCTTGACTATGGATATTCTTCGGTGTGTTCAAATTTTATTTTCGGATATGCCGTTCTGCTTAGGAGGTACCCATTTAGATTTTTTATTTTTATTTTAAATTATGCAATATAAATTAAATAGACTTATTTATATTAAAAGTGAAATTATTTTGAAATGGATGATAAGCATAACGTTTTTAAAAATTAAATACAAACAAGAAAAATGTGTCACAGCAATATTAAATAAAGACGAGTGCGGGAAAGGGATAAAAAAATTTTAAAAATAAAAACTTTGAAGAGGGAAAAATGCAATTTCAAATTTTTAATAAGAAATTTTTATTTTTATATTTAAACAAGATGGAAAAAAATAAATAATGGTATATTTTTTTTATTAAAGAGAATATTTTTAAAAAAAATATTTAATTTTCTAATTTTAATATTTTATTTATTCCAATTTTTTTATTTCTTAATTCTCTTTCCTTTAATCTAAGCACAGCATATAAAAAGGGTTCAGATTTAAGGGACAATTACGACAGGAAAATATATTAATATCTCACAGCGTACATTTAAAATTTTCCATGTATTTAATGTTATCTCTTAAATTAATTAATTATATTAATTTAGATGTCTCGTTTTATATATATATTTTGTTACAAGAGATAAGAAACTATAACTGAAAAATAATCACTAGATAACTTTTTCTTCCACCAATAAATTATATATATATATATAATACTACGAAATACTGAAATTTAATAAAAAAATATAAAATATTAAAATAATTTAATTTTAATACATTATTAGTATAAAAAATTTTATTGAACCAATTAATTAAAATATATCATAGTATAATGTTTATATTGGTTATTATATAAATAAATGATTCTTAGTAATACAATGATTTATAATTGAACAATAAAAATAATGACCACGATAGTTTATAAAAAAATTTAAGAGAATATAATTAAACTTGTTTTAAAAAAATCAATTCACGGGAACGTGGGATATGTGGATTTTCTTCACATGTATCGCTACTGTTAACCAGCGAAGCTTTAAATAACTATATTTTCTGTTTATTTAGTTTGAATTACGTGCGATTTTGATTCTTTTTAAGTTGAGTAAACTCTTTTATTTTTAAAATAAAATAAAATAAAGACATTCTATGGATTTTTTCTGGATAATATTTTTTTTCATTCAAACATTTAAGGTTGATAACCCACATTTGGTATGAATAAAATTCATACGGAAACTCACAAAATGGTCAATCAGATCCCTATAGATAAAATGTTCACCTTTGTTTAACTGATTACCCGATTAATAGTGGCCGTACCTGAAGTCTGCAACGCTGCCATTTTCTCTGTTTCATAATTCACTCTAGTACTTATCCATTCTCCTCCCATTCATTTTATGCAAACCCACAAAAACTTTAAGTATATCATATAACACATGAAAAAACAGAACAAAACTCACCACTTGATTTGCACAAACAAATTGTTCTTATCCATCTCAAACCACACAACAGGTTGGCGCGAGAATTTACTGCACAGTAGAGTTCACCAACTTGGTTTGGTTAACTGTAAATCATTAAGTAAATATTTATTTTAGTTTCACTTTGGTTAATAATTTGTATTTTATATTCTTTGGTTAGGAATTTTTGTTCCCTGCTCAAGTAATAAATAAAATCAAATTAAGGGGTTAAACAATTTATGGTTTAAGACGGTATAAATACGCGATAAGAAAAAAAATAAACAATGTTTTAAATGAAATTAAAGTTTTTTTTTACTCGAAACTTAGTAACTAATTATAACGAAGTCGACCATGTTGGAACAAAATTGATCATTTTCCTTTTGACAGAAGCACTAAGCTGAGATAAGAGACTCCTGAGAAGATCAAATCAAAGCGATTAGTGAATAAGGCCAACATTTAGGAACCACTGAAAACAAACCATGCGTGCAAGCAATAAAATGTACTGTAATAGTCAAGGTCCATATATCATCGAGCTTTTTATGAGAATTTCCTCCCCCATAATTAGAAGATTAGTCCATTCAGCTTTTAAACCTTTATTTATTTTGGAAAAAAATAATCAACATGTTATACATAAGATATAAGCTGTTACGTGGTTGAAATAGACAGGCCATGCTTAAAAAACTATTTATAATTATAAAATGCTCATCAAATTTTAAGAAAATAAAATAAAACTATGACAAGATCGGCTACTTTTTATTATTTTAAACCTTTATTTCATTTAGAAAAAATTATAAATGTGTTATACATCAGCTATAGGCTGCATGGTTAAAATAAATATATTATAAAAAATATATTTATAATTGTAAAATATTTATCAAATTTTTAATTTTTTTTAATAAATTGCAACATAATTAACTATTTTTTATAATAGTAAATATTAAACAAAAATTATAGGAGTAACAAAAGTAAAATGTTAGATAGATATTTTATCGCATAAGAGATGATAAAATAATAAATGATTATATATGGAGAGATATTAGAATAGTGTTTTATTGAGAATAAAGTGATAGAAAATTAGTTAAAGTAGTTAAAAGTTTTCGAATGTGTAAAGAGTAGGTCATTGAAAGCATTGATTTAGTTATTTAAAAAAATGTAAAAACAAATATTGAAAGACGTATTATATACTGAGTAATATATTTAAAAAAACTGATTTTTAAGTGAATTAATTACATCATATAATTAAAATTTTCTAATAAAAAAACCTTTATTATTTTCCCGATTTGCTCAAATTTACCATTCCCTGTTTCTTCTTCCTGTCGGGTTTCTTCATCAAAGTCAAACATAACGAAGAACTTCACTATCTGTGTTCGCTTTGTTAGATGAAACATACAACCGAGTCTTAAGACGCCTCATTAATTTTTATTTTACAACATTGTTTTGTCTTCTTTCTTTTTTTCCTTGTTAACCGTATTCAAGACGTAAACAGCCCTAACGAGCAATTCAGCCTATTTTCACCTCCAGATTAGGTGTATGGGGACAGATAAAAGCACACTTTTCATGTTTTTTTTATAAATAATTTTTGGAAAGTTAAAAAGAAAAAGGCACAACATACTATTTTGATGCTTTTATTGGAAATTGAGTATATGAAAATATGTATCATAAAAATATGTTTCTAAACTTAAAATTAACAACTCCAAAATCACAAATATTTTATGCGTGAGTCTAATTAACTTTTTTAAAACTTTGTTGTCAAGGAGTGTTTCATTCAATTGATAATCAAGAGTTAATTTTATTATATTATAAATGTTTTAACTATAAAAAAAAAAAAACTTACGTAAAGAGAAAAATGTACGCATTGTGGGAAAAAAAATTATTTATCACTGAGTAAGGAGG